CCAGCACAGGAACGTGGGCTGATGGAGTAAAAGAGGAAATAACTTGACACTGAGACAAAAACTGCTTTTGGTTCATTTTTGTCTGTTTTTTTTAATCTTTTCATGACTTGTTATCTTATGTGCAGCACTTTGTGAGTCTATCTACAAAGGTGCTATATAAATACAATTTTATTTATTATTTATTTATTTAAAAGTAAACAAACACGGAAACAAGACTGACCAAATACGAGGGACGCCAGGGAGAGACGAGACCTGAAAGGGAACTGAGGAAATAAAATAGGGAACCAGAGGTAGCAGGAAAACTACATGCTGGACCAACTAACACAGAATTTGAATATTAATTATTATATAACTCCAAAAGCCTGAATCGTGAGTCTATAACGAAGCCTCAAAACAACAGGTCCAAACCCGGACCGTCCAGTCTTGGTGAGTGAAATCCCCCAAATCTAGAAGTATTTTGATGAGATGTTTCTGGACATGAGATGATTACAAGTGAAGACGTATCAGCAGTACGAACGTTTGGCTGAAATGTATTTTCAAGCCACAAAAGTACGTTATTAAAGGTTCCTGACCCACAGGACAGTGGTGCCGCCATGACACAAAACCTAAGGAAGTGCACGGGTCTTGACCTGACCTCCAAAAAAAACCATCCACCTGCTGCCCTTTTTCCAAAGTTGGCAGCGTCAGGCTTGACAGGATATACCTCAGCAATGCTCCCCAGGTCCTCCTGGAGGAGCCTGAGCTTCTCCCAGGACAGATGGTTTAAGAACAAAGCAGCGACTTCTCTGGTTGAGTCGAGTTTCCAACTGCAGGGTTAATGTTCACATGTGGAAACCTACAAGAGGGACTCGCTGCACCCGTCAGAGGTCCCGTGTCCATGGCAACATTGGGTCAGAGCTGTTTGAATCATGTGGATTCACTGCCGCACAAAAAGCTGCTTCTTAATGTTTCTATCAAACATTAAACCAGATTATTCTGCTGAACGTTCCTGGCTGCGGTTACCAGGCATGTCTTTTATTTGCTGATGTTAAAGGTGTTAAAAAATTCTCCGCTTCCCCCTCGTCCCTGCAGAAAGAAATGTGTGCACACAGCAGGGAGCACCGAGTTAATCCACCTGCTCGAATCTGAAACTGCTCCTTCATCTGCTGCAGAAATGAGTCGATGCCAGGAGGGAAATCACTGACGTTCAAGTAGGTACTCGAATTAAGAACACAGCAGAGGAAACAAAGGATCCAGCAGGTGCTCAGATTATCTCCCATCCCTCACGAAATGAAGCAATTTCATTCTCACATGTGTTTCTATTAGTGTTGCAGTGCAGAGTGAGAGCCGACTGCATCAGTGTCACGGTGATCTGA